ATATATATAGATATATATATATACAGTATATATATATGGGATGTCCCAATACCACTTTTTCAAGTCCAAGTCCAAGTACCTCCCCTCATGTACTTGCCGATACCAATTACCAATACTTTTCTTAAAGAGACAGGTGACATTTCTTTAAAAACAATGCAGACTAATGATTTTAGGCCAATTTCTTTATGATTATGAAGAACTTTAATTTAAGACTGTTTTAGAACAATAAAATATTTGAATTTGCTTTCATACAGCTGTCGTGAAACTACAAATCCGATCATGCATGTGCCTCTGGGATCATTTAACCTATTTATGTTAGCAGGTGAGAAATGTAACTCTATTACTGCAGTGTACTATGGATCATTTAACCTGGTACACACTTCCAGTACACTGCAGTAATAGAGTTACAATTCTGCCCTGCTAACATGAATAGGTTAAATGATCCATAATACAACTACATGTTATGTACTATGGATCATGATTTAACCTATTCATGTTAGCAGGGGAGAATTGTAAATCTATAGCTGTAGTGGAGGTGTGTGCTGTATATATGTACTACATATACCGTACACACTGCAGCAATAGATTTACAATTTTCCTCGGCTAACATGAATGTGTTAAATGATCCGTAGTATTACAATTACATGTTATGTACTATTATGTACTATGGATCATTTAATCCATTCATATTAGCAGGGGATAATAGTAAATCTATTGCTGCAGTGTGTACTCTTATGTACATAGTACATAAGAGTACACACTGCAGACAATAATTTACTATTTTCCCCTGCTAATACAATAAATTATTGTTATGAGGGACCCCAGGCCCTCACTCACTGTTAGTTGCATCACTGGTGAGGTCGCGCTGTGCGGGAGAGCAGCGGCGAGTCGGCGCTGGTCCGGTAGGAGGAGCTCCAGGTGGGGTCCTAATTTAGCTGGCCTGCGAATGCTCTCAGGTCATCTGGACAGTCACCAGTGTTCTGTCGACGCTGAGAACTCATCGACCTCGCGAACAACTGACGTCGCATCCGGGTACTGCCAGTAGGTCAGCTACACATAAGGACCTTCCGCGCATGCGTTGCCACTCACCGAGCCTTACACCCCCCACACTGCACCTGCGTCCCTTTCTCACGGCCGTTAACTTCTCCAACTACACACAGCTCCTGTCCAGTTCAACTACCAGTGAAGCTGACCGACTGGCAGTTCCCGGATGCGACGTCAGAGGTGCGCGCGGTTGATGAGTTCTCAGTGTCGACAGAACAGGACTCCACCTGGAGCTTCTCCCACCGTACCAGCGCCGACTCGCCGTTGCTCTCCCAGTAAGTTAAAAAAAATCATAGCGCAAGCTTCGGCGCTATGTATCGGGGCATTTTGACAAGTACAATGTAATGTAGTGAGTGTACAGCTTGTATATCAGTGTACATTTGCTGCCCCTCAAAATAACTCAACACACAGCCATTAATGTCTAAACCGCTGGCAACAAAAGTGAGTACACCCCTAAGTGAAAATTTCCAAATTGGGCCCAATTGGCCATTTTCCCTTCCCGGTGTCATGTGACTTGTTAGTGTTACAAGGTCTCAGGTGTGAATGGGGAGCAGGTGTGTTAAATTTGGTGTTATCGCTCTCACTCTCTCATGCTGGTCACTGGAAGTTCAACATGGCACCTCATGGCAAAGAACTCTCTGAGGATCTGAAAAAAAGAATTGTTGCTCTACATAAAGATGGCCTATGCTATAAGTAGATTGCCAAGACCCTGAAACTGAGCTGCAGCACGATGGCCAAGACCATACAACCGTTTCACAGGACAGGTTCCACTCAGAACAGGTCTCGCCATGGTCGACCAAAGAAGTTGAGTGCACATGCTCAGCATCATATCCAGAGGTTGTCTTTGGGAAATAGACGTATGAGTGCAGCCAGCATTTCTGCAGAGGTTGAAGGGGTGAAGGGTTGGGGGGGTCAGCCTGTCAGTGCTCAGACCATACGCCGCACACGCCGCACACTGCATTAAATTGGTCTGCATGGCTGTCGTCCCAGAGGGAAGCCTCTTCTAAAAATGTAATTATCTTTCCCATTTTTTCGAATGCGAGAACACAGTTCAGGTAGTAGCTTGTTCCACCAGAGACCCTGTGCAGAGAAAAACAAGAATTAAGAATATGATTAACATCTATCCAACTGTGTCTAGCAAATCTAAACCTATAGTTAAACAGCTTTGGAGCTTTGTATCTAGCGATATATTAATAAAGAAGTATTGATTTAATACATGATTATTTGCATACTATATAATAGTGAAATAAAACATGCTTAAAAAATATAAACAGAAATGATTTCTTGCTTAATGTCTTATTTACACGGCAGACTAGCATTTGAAAGCCTAGGTCTCCACTTTCTTCAGCATACATATGTTGGTGGCTCACACAGTGTACTCATCTATTGTCTGGCCACTTGGGAGGACCAGCATCATGGTGTGTGATCATGTAGGCCCAATGGAAGATTCAGACAGTGGTGTGGGTCTCGTTTCCCGAAGCAAACCACTTCCTGTTTTGAGTACCACGGCATGGCATGCTGGTTACATTGAGCACATCATATATACGATTGAAAGAATGTATATAACAACAGTGTGTGAAATGACACTTACGATGTAGCACACAGGAGGCAGAAGCTGTAGTTGAGGTTCTAATGTCTCATGCCCTGGTAGTGGGCATATACACATGGTGCCATTGTCTCCAAAAACAGATGAGTTCCTGGATACTCCCTGTGTTTGTGGCAAGTGGCTGAGGGAAATTATATATTTTCCTTTCCTCCAAATTCCTCCAGGAAAATGACAAATTAACCCTTGCAGTGGGGCTGTTTGTTTTGGTCAAGGTTCTAAAATGACAAAGATATACTCATCCGATCCTTGGTTCCGCCTAGCTTCTAGACTGTTCCCTGCAGCCTCTCTACCCCTCTGCTCCGGCTGTCTAATGATCTGTAAGTCATCACAACTAATACAGTGTATTAGATGTGAGGACACCGAGGGACATTCCTCCGCTGGAGTGGAGGGGAAGAGAGGCTACAAGGACCAGTCTAGCAGCCAGGCAGGATCGAGGATTGGATGAGTACATTTTTCTTATTTTAGAACCTTGACCAGAACTAACACGTATCCCCATAAACTGCTATTTACAAGGAAATGTATTGCTATAACATGGTTCATTCGTTAAATTCTTTCAAACGTTTGTACTGTAATATTACACGCTCATTAACTGCTAACTTTAAGTCAGGTGGAACCCATGTGTATGTTGTCCCCAAAATGTTCAGATTTTGAATCTGTGGTCTGCTGCCACATCATACATACAGTATATGCATTGCTGGTTTGCAAAAAACGAATTCAGAGACTGCTGGCCACTGAAAAAAAGCAGCATGTGTTTTCTCCGAGGACATTTTCTTTTATAGAAAGAAGTGGTTCCATTGCCATCATAAACCAGAAGCAAGCTCACCT